CTTTCCCTCTCTCTAGACTCCATACAGATATCCACTTATTTAAATATAGAATAACAGTATTTCTCATTTAATTATTAGTCTCTGTGTTTACAAACTAATATTTATTCTTCATTAACTCTGTATCTCCAATGTACTCTAATTAAAAAAATTTTTTTTCTAAAAGAAAAAGACTGGAGTTTCAAAAATTACTTTCAAAGAAAAACATTCAAATTGCAATTCAATTTACCTCTTTTGGGGGGCATCTTCTGGAGCATTCTGAAGTCTGACAGTTGAAGCCTCCAAACTTTTAAGTTGTCTTCTGTTGGGTGGCTTTGTTGTTTGTACATTTACTGTGCTTAATTCAACTTTCATTCCCTTAAGAATATTTACCAAGTCTTTTTTCGTATTCTCCTTTACACTGTGTTGGCTCTCCGTCTCCTTGGAAATCTCACAGGTTGGAACAGACTGTTCATCTTTCTTACTATAGATCACGCTGTTAGTGCCAAAATATCTTTGGATATTATTTTTCGTCCTGAAAAGATTAAAGAAAACAAAAAAAACACTGCAAAATAATAACAGGGCTCAAAACGCTGCTCCTATGTGTTTAAAATTTTTTCAATTAAACCCCTCCCTTTTGCTTATTACTGTTATCAGCAACTGTAAGGACAGCAATTTAACATTTACTCAACATATACTATGTGCCTAGTCTTGTGCAACATTTTATGTACATTTTCTCATACCCACATCAACTCCAAAAGGCAGGTATTATCCCCATTTTGCAGATAAGGGAACTGGAAACCAGAGGAGTAACGTAGCCAAGGTCACGTAGCTCACAGCTCACTAAGGCCTAAGACCCGCTGGTGAGCACAAATGAGTTACAGGTGTGCTGAGATACGGACCACCTGGTCCTTGAAGTGGCTGGGTGAGGAGCAGGGCTGCTGGTGCACCTGTCTGTGGCCGCCTCCCATTTATCTCAAGGTCTGGTACAAATATCATTGTCTATGTTCCATGACATTAAAAAAGTTGCAAAACACTGACATGGTTAATAAATTTCAACGTATTATTCTCAAACCCCAAACTGACAGACTGCCAAGTCCTTGCTCTTAACGTAAGATCTCTATAAAACGTCACAATTAAACAATATGAAAATAAAGAAATTTCTATCAGTTAAAAAAAGGTTACTTTCTTCAAACAAATTCCTGGGTGTGATTCTAATCTATTCAACTTTCTCATTGAGCTCCATGTCATTTAACTGATAACTATCTGTAAACTAAGCTAAACTGGAACAGAAGAAAAGGACATTCAGAGGCTAGAGTTGTCATTCTGCTTGCTTCTTTAGATTTATTTGTGAAAAAGAACAACACAAACAACCACATCTATTTCAAACTCATGCAAAAAAAGACTTCCCAATTCTAAGGAACCCAAATATCTAACTTTACTTTGTGGCATTAAGAACCTTTTGATAGTTAATGTTGAAGAACTTTAAAAACTAATGAATGTGTTAGTTTCAGTAAGAGGGTATAAAGTACAAAAAGTCATTTATTAAATATAATGAATATCTATTCTGTGCTGGGCACTATACTAGGCATTGATGCTGCCTTAGTAAATAAAAATTTCATGGTGCCTATTTCATGAAGCTAACAGGCTAGAGCACTGTTTCTCAAACTTTAATATGCATAATAACTACCTAAAGGACTTGCTGAAACACAGATTCTTCGGTTCCACCAAGGAATTCTGATTCAGTAGCTTTGGGGAGTGACTCAGAGTCTGCATTTCTAACAAGTTCCCAAGTAATGCTGATGCTGCCCATCAGAGGCCCACATCTGAGTAGCTATGTTACACATGCCATTTAATCCTTACACTCTTACAGAACAGGTTTTATTATTCCCATATTATAGAAGAAACTGCAGCTCAAAAAGGTTAAATTAGCGGTTCTTAACCTTTAGAGGTTATATGAATCACCTAGGGAGCTTATTTAAAACATGGATTCCTGAGATTCTCAGTTGGTAAGTTTGGAATCAGGCCCAAAGATCTGAACTTAATCAAGACCTCAGGTGATTCTGATCTGTGCAACTGCTCTCAAGAACCTGCATCAGACCCTGGGTTAAATAGTATCTCAAGTTCTCAAAGCTAGTAAGTGGTAGTGCCAGATGAGGGACGCTTTAATGAAAAGAGAAATGGCTATTTCCAAAAACGCTGAAACAAAGTATTTGACCTGCTCATAAAAATGTCAGAGGTTAACACATCAGACACTTAAAAATCAGAATGAAAACCAACTGCTTAACCAATAACCTTATAATCAGTACACAGGGGACTTCCCTGATGGCACAGTGGTTAAGAATCCGCCTGCCAATGCAGGGGACACGGGTTCGAGCCCTGGTCCGGGAAGATCCCACATGCCGCAGAGCAACTCAGCTCATGCACCACAACTACTGAACCTGTGCTCTAGAGCCTGTGTGCCACAACTACTGAAGCCCGTGCACCTAGAGCCTGGGCTCCACAACAAGAGAAGCCACGGCAATGAGAAGTCTGTGCACTGCAACGAAGAGTAGCCCCCGCTCGCCGCAACCAGAGAAAGCCTGCGTGTAGCAACAAATTCATAAATAACGCAGCCATATAAATAAATAAATTTATTAAAAACAAATCAGTACACGGACACATTATAATATTCAATATGTGGTACCATGGAATTTAGGAAAATGCTCTATTATTTTACATGTGAAAGTTAAATTAATACTAAAGGTATTATAACAGAAAGGTGGCAATCAGGAGAAAGAATCTCACATATAACCCATACTTCAATGTTTCCTTCCAAGACTGCTCTAGCACTACACAAAGTAACCTATATTTATACCAGGAAAATCATGTATAAGGAAGTAACTCCATAACACTAAAATAATAAAACTCTAGCCCTAACCTCCCACCTGGGCTTGTTTCCACTGACAGCATCTCATCAGCACTTCAAATGCAGCACATCCAAAACCACATTCAAGAGCTTGCCTCTCAGACTGACTTTCCATTTTTCACTCTTCTGTACTGAAGGGACCTCTTACCATAAATAGCTATTTTTGTATTCTAAAACTTATGACATATTTTAAAAGCCTTCTCAAAGCTGGTCCTCATTCTTCTGTTAACATTAATGGTACCCTAATCCTCCCAAGCAGCCAGCTGAAATCTTTGCTCTGACTGCCCTACCCTTACCTCATCATACATCACATCCTAGCAATTTCACCTGTGAATTGTTTTCCATCCAGCTACTTGTTCCCATCCCCACTGCTAACCTGCTTCAGGGCTGTACTTAACCAAAAGGGTCCCCAACTGATCTGCATGGAATATATATGCAGGAGAATTAAGTTTTCATAATCATGAGAGTTCTCAGAGAATAAATACCAACACCAAGTATGCTGCAAATCTTTTTCTTGCCTGGCTAACTCCAGCCCTTGGGCCCCCTTTAGATTTTATCAGGCTTCTTTTCCCGAAAGGATACTCTGAACCTCTCCTGCAATGGTCAGGTGTCTCGATTTGCTCACCCAGCAATTACCAGTTCAGTGAATTCTGTGGCACTCTGCACTACCTACACTATCTCAGCGATTACTCCACTATACTTGAATTGCCTATGTGGTGGAACTCTAAGCTCGGCGACGGCAGGACTGTGTTACTCGGGGCTTAACCCCAGGGCTGGCACACGGTAAGCGTTTTCAATAATGAAGGTAAAAATGAAACCATCACAGACTTGGGAGGCAAAAAATTTAAAAAGAATTAAAAAATAAAACAAAACAACTTCGCTTTCTGGAACCTGGATAAAATGAGGGGAGAAGTGGCAAGAGAGATGAGGCACGGTATGTAGCAGAAAGAGCACAGGGCAGCGGACCAGGCCTGTCACCATGACCTTGGGCAAGTCATTTTATGTTTCTGGGATTTCCCTTTGCTCAGATTTAAAGCGACGGCTTCTAAGATCCCGCGGATCATAACACGGACTCCAGGAAGCCGGAGGAAGAGAACTGAATGTGCAGGAGCGGGGACAGGGTTTGCCTTAAGAGCTGCCGGGCCAACAGCGCTGCAACGCGGTACCTGACAGTTCCATGCGGAGAAGCGAGTAGCACGACGGCGGCCGCCGATACCTCTGGGCCTCCGGAGCACAAAGGGAGGCGGGAAAGGGGGCGAAGAGGGAGGAGAGCCGAGACCCTCGGAAACATCGCGGAGGAACAAACAGAATTGGGCACACAGGGGCGACGACGCGTCCTCTGACAAACACGCCCCCCGGCTCCCGCTTCCGTTCCCCAACCCGACGCGCTCCTCTCGCTTCGTGTGCCGGCGGGCAACAGGGGCTGCTAACTGTGTTCCGGGTTCGTCCGCTGCCGAGCCCGCTGTCTCCAGGCGACTCCTCCCCCCCTCGGCGATTCTGGCCCCATCCCAGAGGTGGAGTCAACTGAGGTCAGCAAGCGGGTGGCGCTGGGGAGGCGGCCCTGACCCGAGAACTGAGAGTGGAGGGAGCGATCAACTGTGCAAAATGCTGCTGATGGGGCCAGTAAGATGAGGCGCAGAACAGACCCTACTGTGCGGCGTTAGGGGGAGAGGATCCACAGCGTTCATCCTATTCTCAAAATGATCCATGGCCACCAAGGAGGTTAAAAAACAATATTAACATGGGACATGCTGTCCGATAAATTAGTATTTCTTTTCAGTCTCTGTTTTTGACGGAGAGTCAAAACATGAGACATATATGTTTCATTAATCTAAAATGGCCTTAGAGATTAAAAAAAAAAAAAAAGTTCAAAAGAAAGACCTGGCTTTCTCCTGTCGCGTATGAAGGCAGTGAACAGTGGCCCAGAAGAGATGAGGGATTCTCAGATCTGGAAGGGCATGAGCGTACACACCCGGGTGAAAAATGCTGGCTAGTAGGTCACATGCCAACCTCTAGCTTAGAATTCCATACTGTCGGCTGAACATTAGCATCAGCATTTTCCCTGCCACTTCAAAAAAGAACCAAGAATGGTGGAGAATTTTTTTAATAAATTAATTTATTTTATTTATTTATTTTTGGCTGCGTTGGGTCTTCCTTGCTGTGCTGGGGCTTCTCATTGAGGTGGCTTCACTTGTTGCAGAGCACGGGCTTCCGTAACTGTGGCTCTGGGGCTCTACAGCGCAGGCTCAGTAATTGTGGCTCGCGGGCTCTACAGCGCAGGCTCAGTAGTTGTGGCACAAGGGCTTAGTTGCTCCACGGCATGTGGGATCTTCCCAGACCAGGGCTCAAACCCGTGTCCCCTGCCTTGGCAGGTGGATTCTTAACCACTGCACCACCAGAGAATCCGTGGTGGGGAATTTTTTGTGTTGCTGAAAACACAGGTTACGTTGAACAGATCTTGCTAAGATCCACTAGCCCTGGCAGAACTTTTGTGACAATGCTAAACACAGTACACTCAAGATGCTTTCCTTTTTTTTTTTTTTTTCTGTCTACAAGAAATGCACTCTGTTTGGGGGTGGGGGGTGTTTGTTTTTCCTCCAGTTTTGTTGAGATATAATTGACAACTAGCACTGTGTAAGTTTAAGGTGTGCAGCATAATGATTTGACTTGCATACATCATGAAATGATTACCACAATAAGGATAATTAATAGAGTAGCTCTAACTGGCCACAAATTAAACCACAAGAGAACTTCAATACATTCTGAGAAAAATAAGAATAGATCTTCCCTCTGAAAAACCATAACTTGTGCAATTGTCCAGAGCAATCATTTATGAAAGTGACAAAAACATAGCCTAAAAGAAAATGTTTTTCGTCCTCCTCTTCTGGTGTTGATTCACCAGTCCTTTTCTTCCCAGTGCCCCCTTGAAGTGCACTTTCTAGAGCAATGTGCCTTGGGCAAGGGGCAGCAAATCAACTGAAATAGGTCCTGACATACATCAGTGACTTTGGCCTAAATGTCTCATGAAATTCTACACTAACTGACTCGATAAGCCTGCCATGAAAATGAAAAAAACAAAATCATTCTATATCCCAGTTATCGATTGCTACATAACAGACCACCCCAAAACTTAATTAAATGGCTTAAAACAACAATTTATTATCTCTCATGGCTCTCTGGTTGACTGGGCTCAGCTGGGTGGTTCCTGCTTGGGGTCTCTCATGTGGTTGCAGTCAGATAGCAGCTAGTCTGGACTGGATGTCCAACATGGCTTTTTCATTCACATATTTGATGGCTTAGCTGGAATGGCTGGAAGAAATGGGCTGGCTGGGCAACTCTCTCTCTCTCTCTTTCCACGTAGCCTCTGAGAGCAGAATATGCCAGCACAAGATGTGCCCCTTTGGTATAAAGGTTATTTTGAGCTGTAAGCATTTGAGAAGAAGCAAACACAAAAAAAAGCCTCTCTGCCTTCCCTCTGTTTGCCCAAAAGCAGGACATAAATTTGTAGAGATGTCCCCACCCTCCTCTATCAGGAAGAACACAAATTAATCACCGAATACAACTCTAGACGCTTGTCAGCCCAGAGATGACACTAAAGGAATCCACATAACCCACTTTACTTACTAACCTCTAACTTCTCTTAGTTCCCCCATATATTCGCCTTCCCACAATCTGCTGCCCCAGAAACTCAAAGTCTTTCGCTTTGGTTTCATCCGTCTCTAAAAATGTACTGCTTTTTTGTTAAGATGCTCTATAACCCTGAGTTATAACCACTCATTTGAGTTACTCATCTCTGAGTGCTCCTATGTGTATGCATGATGCATGCATGTTAATAAACTGCTATTTGTTTTTCTCTTGTTAACCTCTCTTTTGTCAGTGTAATTTACAGAGACCCAGACAATGAACCTACAACGGGTAAATGGAAAAGAGATCCTTTTCCTTCCCTTCACCTCTCTACATGGCTAGCTTGGGCTTCCTCACAGCATGGCACCTTAGGGTATTTGAATTTCTTACATGGAAGCTGGCTTGCCTTGCCGTGAGGGTTCCACAGACGCAGGCTAAAGCTGCACAGCTTTTTATGACCTAGCATTGGAAGTCACATAACATCACTTCTATGACATTCTATTGGTAAAAAAATGAGTCACAGGGCCAGCCCAGATTCTAAGGGAGGGAACTACATTTCCCTTCAGATTCCAGGAGTAGGGACTTCCCTGGTGGTCCAGTGGTAAAGAATCCGCCTTACAATGCAGTGGACTTGGGTTCGATCTCTGGTCAGTGAACTAAGATCCCACATGCCGCGGGGCCACAGGTACTGAGCTCGTGCACCTCACCTAGAGCCCGCGTGCCGCGAGCTACAGAGCCCACGCGCTCTGGACCCCACACGCCACGACTAGAGAAGAGAAAAACCGCACACCACAACTAGAGAGAAGCCCGCACACCGCAACGAAGATCCCACGCGCCTCAACGAAGATTGCACATGCCGCAACTAAGACCCGATGCAGCCATAAATAAATAAATAATAAATAAATCTTTAAAAAACCCCACGAATTCCAGGAGGAGCAGCTCATTGGGACCATCTTTGGAGACTTGCTACCATCACATATTTTTCTTTTTTTTTAATGTTCTTAGCAGCATTGTTCTTAATAGCCCAAACTGGAAACAACCCAAAAGTCCACCAATCAGTAGAATGGATAAATAAAATGTGGTATACACAATAGAGTATTATATAGCAATGAGAATAAGTAAACTGCAATTATACACAGTAACATAAATCATTACAGTAAATGAAAACAAAGAAGCTACTAAAATTCTTATAGTGTGATTACACTTACATAAAAGTCAAAAACAGGTAAGATCAAATAATACTGTTTAGATAGGCACACATAGTGGTAAAATTCTAAAGAAAAAGGAAACGCACTGGGGAGTTGGGGAGGTTATAAGTGGGGTGGGACACACAGGAGAGCGGGTAATGTTCTTTTTCTTGAGCTGGTGCTGACTGCATGGATTTGTGTTTATAGTAATTATCTAAACCATAATTTCCGCTTCATGGACTCTCCTGGTCACATGTTATGTTTCATAATGAAAACAATATTTGAAAAGAAGAGCAACAAGGAGTAATAGGAAGAGAAGGAAGAAAGAGAAGACGGAGGTGGAAGTAGAGGTGTAGGCAAAAGAGGCGAAGGAGGTCTACCGCCACATCTTGGCAAACTTTTAATTAAGCCCATTCACTTTATCAGTCTATTCTGCCGCGGTTCTTTTTTTTCCATTTCCAACCATCTTGATGGTCTTTTAAGAAGTTCATATTTCGATTTATACAAAATTTTGCACCCTCCCAGCACATAGATGTGTTCGCCAACTCCAAAGCTCCTGCAGAAGACAATTTTGGTTGATGCTAAATTATCGAGAAGGCTAGTAAACACTGTCCTTTATAAGAATGTCTTATGATTTCAAATAGGGCACATCTGGAGAGCACCAAAGCCATTTTTTTTCAGCAATTACTACTTCTGGACCGAACAGTGAACTTTCATCAGTCAACCCTTATCAGATAGTCCAGGGAGAATATATTGCTGTTGTTTTTAAGAACTGTAATATATTTCTACATGCAGGTGCTAAAGAAAATGAAATGAAAGAATTTTTTTAAATCAGGAGAATATTGATTCCAGTCAATTCATGGTGCGGCAGACCTCTGGAATCTATGATTCAAAGGCAGAAATCTAAGTAAAAGGAGTATTGATATTGCATCAATTGTGTTATAAGGCAATATGTGCACGTAGCATTCGATATTGAGAAGAGTTTTTCAAATGTTCTGATTATAGTACATCCTTGGGTGAGGCGAGCCTGAGAGTTTAGGAGGGGTCATATCCTGACACATAGATAGGCATTCTTGGCTCTTTACAGCACAAAGGGCAGACAGGAAGGACCAGCTCTGAGAATTAGACCTGCCCTCGGGTGTCCCCAGATACAAAGGGAAAGGGTTGGGCCAGCTGCCAGAATACAGTGGTTGAAGCCTGTGCTGATAGCCACCTGGAGTCCAGTGTGATAGTTATATTTATTGCCATGTAACACACACACACACACACACACACACACACACACACACACACTCCACTCAAATGATATATACTACTATAATTCCAAAGCACTCCATGAATAAATGATCATTTGAAATTTGTCAGCTAATGGGTTAGAAGTGGGATTCAATAACTGGTGGTTCACTAAACTGTAAAACTGTTATGCATAGTATTAATAATTGTATAGAAATATTGAAAACAGGCTAAGCTATACAATGTTACAAAAGAGCAACAAAGATATTAAAATAGCAGCAAAG